TTTAAATGGCAGTTCCATTCTTAATGAAAACGAGTTTTATATTTTAAAGTCATATATTTAAAATCAAATGAATTTTATCTTTTAAAACCAACTGTACCAATTTTTTTTATAGAAAAAAATATATTTTTAATTGCTTAATTAAGATAAATATCTATATATAAATTATAAAAATTTCTCAAAACATCAATTTATGATTTTTGGCAATGTAGCTGCAGTCGGCAGATGCTTTGGCAACATCTGCACTTGTTTCAATAAACTCTACCTCGATGTAAGGTTTATTTTTCAATCAAAAGAAGTGGTGCCCAAAAAAAAAAGTCTATATGTACACAGTGGAGAATGTCTATACTTCTTTCGGCCTTTTAAAAATTTGGTTAGTGCAAATGAAATGGTTCATTATTTTGCTTGTTTTCATGTTTATATTTCTACTTAAAAATATTATTTTAATTTGTTTGTCTTGGTAATCATTTGTAGAAAATTTGAAGGCCATATTTTTAACAAAATAACGAATGAATGAATGTTTTGTTTTTTGGCTGTCGTAATGTATGAATGCATGTTTTTTCGTCGTGAATGAATGTCAAATGCTCCATTTTTGTTTTACGAAAAGGGAATGAATATACAATTTTCAGATGGAGCATGTTGGGCCTCGTTTTCCACTTGTTTGTTGTCCATTTTGGACAAAAAGAAAAAACGTAAAATCTGAAAACGGAAGTCTTAAACGACATCGTATCAAAGACGTAATGAAATGTGACGTCGTTTGAAGGAAAGGTTTGAGAGTTCCAGAACTTTCTCTCATTTCCTACGCGAGGCCGATTTGCGACTGTCACCACTTGTGTGTGCTTCCGATTACGCCATTTTTGCTCTCTCTGTCTCCGGTAAGCTTCTCGAGTTTCTAATTTTGTTTCTCTGTTTGATTCACTTTGGTTTGTTACGGATTTTGCTTGTGGATTGCCCTTCTAAGTGAACGATGGCCAACTTTTAGTTACGTTTTAGGGTTTATGTTTTTGTCGAACTTTCTGTCTCTGCTTGCTAGTTAGTTCTTGTTCTGTTACTCTTGTTCTCTCTCTCTGATATTGCTATATATTCTTTCTGTCTTCGATTTGGTTGTCTTCTTTCTGCTTGATATTGTTTGAGAAGCTATCACATTGGTTTGATTTAGCCAAAAACTGTTCGATCTGTATTTTTCAGTGATAGAAGTGCATTATGTCTTTCTCCAGCTTCATGTTTCTCCTTGCTCGTTAGATCTTGTTCTGTTACTCTTGTTCGCTCACTGATTTTGCTATTTCTTTGCTCTAATTTGGAACCAATCTCTCTTGCTTTTCCTCTCTTTCGTTAATGACTGCTATAACATTTAGAAAAACGTTTCACTTTGATTCGCTTCGTGATGTTCTTTCCATTTTCTGTTTACATTCATAATCTGTTATTGAAACATTGGAAATTTCATATGCATTCAGGGTTAAGTAATTGCAGATGGCAATCCCCTATGACCCCGATTTCACAATGGCAATCACAATTGCTGGAGGGACTGAGATCGACCTAGAGCATGGTAACTTGTCAGTCTAGAAAATACTTTTTTGACACCAACAAAGTAGTACCTACTCTTGTTTATAACAGTTTTTGCTCTGATCCCTTGTAGGTGGAAATGAGTTGACTTTACATGGGAATGCATTCACATTTGATTCATTTCCATTTCTGTTTTGTCTTGCAGATGCATCTGCCTCTGCGGCTNTCGTAGCNGTTGATCTGATNAGCTCTGCACGGNTTNNNCTNAAGCTNGACANNGTGTACACTGAGTACTCAGCTCAGTATCTGGTGGACAATGCTCGTTCCAGGCAGCAGAGAAGACAAGATCTCAAGCTCACTGTCAAGGACTGCCTTAAGTTTGTGTTGAAGAAAGGCATACTGAAAGCAGAAGATTGGCCACACTTGGGATCTGTGTCAAAGCCTCCTTCATCGTACAAACCTGCTCTTGTTTCCATGAANGGACAANTGATTGAGACTCNGAATGTGGAGGAAGCACGGGACTGGTTGATGCATCAACCGGTGGGAGCAAAACTGCATGTGTTCAGTCCACACATTGATCTTCAACAAGACGTAAGTGCTGTTAGTTATATTCAATACAAATGAGAGATATATGACAAAGATTTTATCTAATATTTGTTCATTTGTTTGGTGTGGTAGGGAATTTACTGTGGCTCGTCAGGGGAGGCAGCCAGCTATGTTGGACTTAGAGACGGCATAATAGTTAAAGAGGAGAAGATAGGGGGAAAGTCCATAGCTACAGTGAAGCTATGGTACAAGAACAGCTTTAGGTTTGTCAACGTGGCGATGAGCAGAATGTTTAAACGAGCATGTGCAGACCGTGACGACCCTAGGAACATAGCGGCAACTACTCTGCTTGTTGATTATTGTGTCCCACGCCTATCCATCAATTAAGTAATAGATCTTCTTATCTTAATAAGTATTTAGAGAACAATATGCTACTAGTTTGGAACTTGTTTGTTGTAATAAACTAAGAATGTTTCATGAGACTTTTATTTGTAAGTTAAGAAGTTGTTGATCTCTCTGATTTCTTTGGGATGGATCTCTTAATTGTGTGTTCAGATTTGGTTAAAGTGAGTCCTCTTATGTAAGGGAGTAACCATGATTTGGGATAGAGATGATAGAACATGTTAATACGAATTAATTAATTTCTTATTACTGCAAAGGAAAAAACGAGTTTAGCATCTTCTCCACATATAATTAGTGTGCGAGGCCGAGAAGATGGGACTGAAAATCATGATGAATAAGAAGTTGCTAAATGAACTCCCAAAATTGAAGATTCAAAGATGAAAGAAATTTTGTTTGAAAGATGTCAATATGGAAAATCACGCATGCACATGTCAATCCAGACAGCTTCTAGTGTGTCCTTGGTTATAATGTCAGTTTGATGGACCATCTTGATCCACATACATATCGATCTAGACTGTTTTCTTTGAGTTTATGTTTTCTGCAATCTTCTTTCTTCCTTCTCTCTAAAAAAAAACACAACATATTTTGGGGTTTGATTTGAATCTTTTATAAAGTACAGGGTTACTTTATTAATAATATTTTAGTATTATCTTACTCTCACCTGCGTCACTCCTTCGTTCCTCCGTATACCTCAAAAGGTCTCAATTTTTTTATTTGTTCTTCTTCTTCTGCCAACATAAGAGCGAAAGAAGATGTTGAAGCTCCAAAGGCGGAGGAATCATTGCCGATGAAGACAGTCACCGGAGGAATCATTGCCGCAGAACCCGTCTCCCTTCCAAAGGAACACTTTGTGATACTTGTTAAAAGCTATTTTATTTGCAACTAAGGATTTCTTGTTTTTGGCCTTTCCCTTTTGCTTCAAATATCTATGAATCTATCTGTGATTTCTTGAAGCTGCAGGTTAATGTTTAGACTCTGGCTCTTGAAGTGATGTTCTATCTAATTATGTTTGATGGGAACTGATACTTAACCATGGAAAAACTTGAAACTTTTTGTGTAAACTCAAACTTGTAGGCGTAGAGCACAGTGTTGTTATGGAGCAAGTTTAGCTGCAGCAAAAAAGATGATCCTCTCTCTCTCTCTTCTGCTGTGTAAACCTTACCATGCTTTTCCCTGTTACAATGCTTTAGTTTCTTTGTCTGTCTATTAGATTAACTAATAAAAACTGTTTTATTTTCAGAGAAAGTAGTAGCCTCGTGCTAAATTCTTGACAAGGCCAAATAAACAGAAGTGCTTCAACTCAGAAGAAAAGCAAAAGAAAAATGATGAACAAGCCAAGCCATTCTCAAACCCCAGCTGGTGTGTACTTCCAAGTGACAGTGCATGAACGTACCTGGATTATCTGCAAGGAATCTAATGGCCACCTGATGGCACACCAATGGTGTTCACCTCAATCAGGTCGACAAGATTGAAGTTCTGAGGATCCTTGTTGGAGTCAAAATTTCCAAACCTTTGGCCAACAACAAAGAAATTGAATCCGTGAAGATGAAGAGGGTGGCTTTCAGCCCCGAGAATGCTAGTGTCTTGCATCACCAGCTCCACACTGGTGCTATAGAGCAAGACAACAAGCTTTGTTCCAATGCTAACCATGGAACAATTTGGTGGGTTGCCTTTGTAGTTAAAAGGTGATGAAAACTCTGGTGAGTATACTCTGTGAGATTGCAGGAGAGCTGTTGTTGGCATGTCAAAAGAGACATTGTTATCTGATGCAGTAAATATTGTGCCGTTAGGTCCCTGGCATGTTTGGTTATGATGGTTACATGGGGCTGTTCCCAATCCTACTGTGAAAAGAATTTTTGATGAGGACATTTGCGGGAAATTTCTCGGTGTTCAAACTACGCAGCTTATTGCTGAATGTGGTGGCAAAATTTGTGTTGTTCAGAGCTGAAGGTTCTTGATAGAGGTTTTTGAGCGAATGCCAAATCCGCTTTTTGATGGTTTGTATTCTAAGATGCCTGCAACAGTAGAGTTATCAAACGTTCCTTGACCTGTGACATATGGCCATGAAGCCATGAAGAATGAGGCACCCGGATAGCCGTAATGATTTGCAATGCTGATGAAGAGCTCATCATCGAAATAGGTATGTTTTATCCATAAACGTAAGTTAGCTCATAACTAAATGAAGACAAATTGACACAATCTAACACCTTTAGATGAGCAGTTATATAATGGTCCAGGAAGTCCATTGATTGTGTACGCATCAGAAACATTTCGACCACCACCTGTTTGAAGTGCCTGGCTAATGATTGCCTCAGGATCTGAGTTAAACCACTCCTCTGAAATTTAGCAGAGTAAGTTTTGCATCACTAAACCAGAACCGGTGAATTCTGTCTTCCTTGTCTCAGGCTTTTTGTTAAGTTGCCATTATCCTTACCAAAGATCATAGGAATTTCCTTGTATGGTTTGGCAAATGGGTAAGGTACTCCGCGTTTGGGAATAATGATACTGAGCCGTAGATTGTTGCTCTCTGATCCGACAATAGTATACAGTAATTGTTGTTGGACCATGAATGAGTGGTGTTAAAGACAATCCAACTTTGTAAGACATTCGATACAAAAATGTTCCTCAGATTAGGGTTTCTTTAATTAAGTGAGCCCTCTCCACGTAGAACAGAGGTGATTAAGGTTCGTGAGAGCTTCATTCTGACAATGCTTTTATTCATTTGAAAGAGATTTTGATAGGTTTTGAAAAAAACAAAATCCTGAAAATGCTTAGAGAAAAAAGCATTAAGCTACTCAAAGAAGGTAGATAGAGTAATTTTTTCAAATGAGATGTCAAATCAAAAGACAGGTCATGGATGAACAGTACGCGAACCTTAACTATTCAAAATCTTGCTCTCAAAGGCATGTCATATCTAATAGTACGCAGACATGAAAAATACACAGATGGTTGTGATGTATCTATATACTTTTCGTCTACAAAATGTCATTTGAATGTATTCTTAGATTAATGTAAATATGGCGACTAAATTTGAGCCAAAAAAAAAATATATATTATGGGGCTAAATCTGATTATGCAGATGTAAAGTTTGGAAAAGTCCATAAACTTTTGAGGAAGAAACTAACATTGTATATGCAATGTTTTCTATTCCTCCATGAATTATGAATCGTCATCCAATCTATACATGACCTATTGAGTCATGCCAAAACCCACATACTCTGTCTGAAATTTTTATAACATGACATTTTAAAATACGGTCAGTTTCCACAAAATCGTAAACACACTGAGTAATCCATTAACAGTTTAGTCTGATTTAAATTAAAAGGTTTAAAAAAAATATATCAATTTCCACAAAATCGTAAACGGAGTGATTTTTCCATTAACAGTTTAGTATAATTTAAATT